AGGATTTTTTTTTTTTTCTTTTTTTTCCCTTTTTTTTTTTTTTTTTTTTGGTTAATCCTAGCCTGAGGATATATATATGTTTTCCATGGATTTTTAGAGAGTGGAAGGGAGGGAAGGAGGGAGAGAGGGGGAGAGGGAGAGACATTGATTGCTGCCTCTCACACAGGCCCCAACCGGGGCCAGGAATGAACCTGCGACCCAGGTACGTGCCCTTGACAGGGAATCAAATCCAAGACCCTTGGGTGCTCAGGCCAAAGCTCTAACCACTGAGCACCACCGGCCAGGGCGGCAGAGGGTGCCCTTGAAGGAACACGCACAGCGTCCTAAAACACTCCCCCCCCCCACACACACAGGCAGGGGGTGGAGACACAGCCCCTCCTCCCGGCTTCTGTGAAACAACCTTTGGACAGGAGGAGCATTTGCAAACTTAGTTTTGATTCCTGCTGGGTCTATTTGCATGTATTAGGGGCGCTGAGGCCCCTGGTTACTTCCCAGCTGTTACTGTTGCCACTTGGTGAGATGTTACATTGTCTCCGGGTCTTGGTCAGAGCACAGGCCTCACCTCCAGCCGAGTCCCCCGTGATGTGAAACAGGCCTTCCTGTGTGGCCTCCACGCAGAGCCCAGGATCCGACTTTTCTTATTTCTTCCTTTGTACCGTCTCCTTACAAACCCAGATTTCTTAAGCACTTGAGTTTCTTAGTCATCAGTTTATTTTTATCCTGTGTTTCAGCAATGAGTCAAAAAAAATTGTTTTCTGCTTTGGGCTGGAAATTATAATCATTTGGTAGTATTTCTGAATATAACCATGTAGGCTTTGATATTCCGAGCTAAATGTAAATACTCTAAATAATAATTAGATGCCCCCCGTGAGAGAGCTTCTCAGTCGAATCAAGATAATATTTTATAATCTAAGGACAGAAAAGTCCAAAGTGCTGGTTCAGTTGGATCAGAGGCTCAGATCCAAAGATGACCTTCAGAAAATTTCTTTTCTCTCTGAATCAGCCAACATTTCAGCTTGGTCATCAGCCCCTCTAAATTCAATCGATATTTACTTGAATGAATCCATACAAGAATAATTCCATCTTGTTCATAATATGTAAGAAATCCTCTTAAGCCAGACCCAAGAGTCCCCGAGGAGCTGCTCCGTGATTCAGACCCTGGAGGAGGTCCCAACGGGGACCCTGCTTCATCTTCCAGCTGCCTCTGGACACGAGGCCTCCCCCCGACTGCCCGCCCAGCCCTCCTGCAGCAGCCCAGGGACGCAGACATGGCTCAACCTCACTGTCCATGGGGCAAAGCAATGATGCAGACGAGAGTCCACGAATCCAGAGAGCCCTCCTATTGCCTCGTCACTGATTTCTGGAGGTAAGGGCTACGGAAGAGCCCCAAGGGTTTGGAGTGGGCAGGATTCTAGGATGTGGGTGCAGAAAGGGGCTGGAAATGGGGGGAGCTGAAAGCCACGCACATGTGGCTGGGTGGCAGAACCTTCAGACCTGATCTCTGCTCAGACACGAGGACTCCCTGAATGCCGCCCCTCAGACCCCGATTTTAAGGACCCTGACTCCCTCCCATGGGGGCGAACTCTCCCACTGAAATGCCGCTTTAAAAGGGTGGCTTCTCAGTGATGAGGGCATGCATTTCTGGCGGAGGAAACCACAAAAACACAATGTGAGGAGAACGTCTGTGGTTTAAGGGAGGAGTGATGAGCTATTGAGTCGTGTAGCTCTGAGCACTTGGTTCCAATCCAGCTCCGCTCAGAAAACCAACTCAGAGCCAAGCAGCCTGGAGGAGGGCACGGGGCCTGCTCACAGAGTCGGTGGTCTGAGACGAGCACTTCTCGCAAGTACTGAATGCTCTTTAAAAGTAAATAAGGGCAGGAGATCTGTGCTGCGTCCCCGGAGGAGAAACCGGGGGCTTAGCGAGGTCAGCGCGCTGCAGGGAGCGCCTGCTGAGCCCGAGCCCCTCGCGCCTGCGGGCAGGAGCCAAGCCAGTGATTTAGCCCTTTCTGGAAATCTCACGGCCAAGGGTAGATTTACAACATCACGTGGCTTTGCTTCAGAATAGAAAGGGAGAGAAGAGAGGAAAGGAAGGAATATGAACAGCAATAGAAGGGACAGAGAGGGCTCCACCCTTTTGCACTTTCCAGACCAGCATCTCTTGTGCTGTCACTCGGAGCCCTCTGGTTGGCACTGGGCTGAGAGCAGAAGTCCCAGAAAGCCCTGCACTGGACCATCGGTCTCTCCATGGCTTCTGGACCCTTCCTCCACGCTAAGAATTTCCAGGGACAGTGTGCAGGTGACACAATGACTGTGCCTCACCTGTCTAGACTCCAGTGTCCTCTGTAAACTGGGTGTTGTAAGCAGCACCTGCCTCAGAGTTGCAGGAAGCTAGCAGAATATGTGAGGACATGTATGAGGCACACAACACATGTGCACTTAAAATGTTCTAGGACACTCAGGTATGGGTTGCATGTACCACATGTAGCTTCTCTTCACACGTGTATTTTACCTGTCAAGAGGGTGACAGCCCATTTGCCACAAAGAGCAACACTGTCTCCATCAGAGCAACACTGTCTCCATCAGAGCAACTCTGTCTCCATCAGAACAGCAACACTGTCTCCATCAGAGCAACTGTCTCCATCAGAACAGCAACACTGTCTCCATCAGAGCAACACTGTCTCCATCAGAGCAACTCTGTCTCCATCAGAACAGCAACACTGTCTCTATCAGAGCAACAGTCTCCATCAGAACAGCAACACTGTCTCCATCAGAGCAGCAACACTGTCTCCATCAGAGCAACAGTCTCCATCAGAACAGCAACACTGTCTCCATCAGAGCAACTCTGTCTCCATCAGAGCAACTGTCTCCACGCAGAGCACCCAGCCAACCATGTGTAGCCAACACCCGACACGACGGGCCTGGGTGACCTCAGCTTCTCTCTGTGACCACTTTCATTCATTCATTCATTCATTCATTCATTCATTCATTCATTCGACACAAGCTCCTCCTGTGCCTGTGGACCAGCAACACAGGGGTTGCAGCACTGAGAAGTCTCATCTGCTTTGGGAGAGAAGCATTAAACAGAAATTACTGAGATAACTGATGTCACAGTTG